ACTGGACTAGTTCATTATCTAGAGCAGCAGCAGAGAGGTTCCCTGCTACCTGTGCAACTGTAGATATTTTGCCATTACTCATACACAGAAGAAAGTACTGGATATAATTTGAACAGCACAACTTTAATTAAAAACACACTTGAGGAAGAAAGCAAAAAGGCTTTTTCTTTGGCTTTATATTATATGCACAACACTTTAGAAACAAGCTATTTGCCATGATGTAAAACCCTAAAAAAAAGAATAAAGAGAGAGGAAAAAAAGAAGTCCAGATGAGCCAACATTAAGCCTGCAAGCTCCGAGCTTCCAAAAGCAACTAGAACTTTGTTTGGGTTTGAAGTTGACACATATCGAGGGGGAAAAGTGACATGATTATACTTTTCCATCAATATATATTTTTGGTTTCTGATATTAAAATACAAAAGAACCGAACAGCGTGGGCTCATCTACACTGGCCCCTTTTCCGAAAGGGGCATGTTAATTTCACAGGTCGTAATAGGGAAATCCGCAGGGGATTTAAATATCCCCCGCGGCATTTAAATAAAAATGTCCGCCGCTTTTTTCCGGCTTTTCTAAAAGCCGGAAAAGAGCGTCTACACTGGCCCCGATCCTCCGAAAAAAAAGCCCTTTTCCGGAGGATCTTATTCCTACTTCAAAGGAATTAACATGCCCCTTTCGGAAAAGGGGCCAGTGTAGACGTAGCCCATTAGTTTTGTAAAGAAGAAACAAAAATTCATACACAAAATGTATTCATGTTACATCAGTAACATCATTTACCAAGAATCAAGAAATCGAAATAGTTCTGTATCTTTCCTCTGCAAGTGCATCACTTCTTTATATAGAAACAAATACAAAAGAGACATTACCGCTCCTAAGCTGTGGTTCTGTGGCTGTGCAACTATCCATAATACAAATAACTCCAAACATAGTGGATACAGACCCAATTACTACCCCTTGCAGCCCATGGTGGTGGCATGATTGAGGGAAAGCCAGTATGGCTGCAACTGTCCCTGAAGATTGGTGATCTCTGGCTGCTGTAGTGGCTTCTTAAGTCTTCCAGTTCACACAACACCTATCTCAGAAGAAAGAACCAGCACAAAGGGGCTGTAAGATTGGGGAACCCCAGGGAGGACTCCTTGACTATGGCTGAAGATCTGGCCCAACATCTTTAGGCAATAGTTCTGCAGTTTTGAAAACCCCAAAGGGACGTTGGCTTGTCCCATGACTGGAAGATGAGATCCATATATATGCATGACAATGCTTCCTCCTGGACTGTGTCAGAAAATAACTCAACTGAGTGCCACAGGTCCTCTATTATTGTTGATGAAGATTCTCCAGTAGTTAAAATGCTAAGAAACTGTGCATGGTACCCTATATGCCTTAGCCATAGTACAGCTGTTCTTGTGGCTAGTGTAAAATAGAACAACAATTGATAAACCCTAAGTTGTTAGGGATTTATTACAATATTTAGCATTCACACAGTGCTTCACCTATTCAAAGTAACTAAATACAGATTAACTAAACAATTCCTCCATTATTAACACCTCACAAGTATGTTGTTACTCCAATTTGTAGATGGGAAATTAAAACATTAAGTAGGGCAGGTGACTTGCCCAAGGTTGCACAAGAAGTCAATATCATTCACATTAAGGATTTTAACAAAGTCTCAGAGATATTCTAAGAACTTTTTATGAACATCAATGAATCAGAGTCAAGAGACACAGGCCTTTTTTTCTGCAGATTGAATGTCTCTAGTCCAGAGCTCTCTGATCCTGCACGATATTAGTTAGCCAGATGTCCACTTATCATGGGTGTGGCCTAGTTTCCCATGGTCCCATAAAGTTTGTTTATAACCACCAGTTCTGGCTCTTCGGTTATGGGTACAATAGGAGCCTCTTCTGCAAGAGGAAATGCAAATGGAGTGCTCATTTGCATATGTCGTGCTCTCATTTGCGTTTCCTACTTGGATCCCTTTTGCGCAAGAGTTTTTTGCACAAAAAAGCGCTGTGTAGACGGCTCCTTTTTCACAAAACCCGCCTTTTGCACGAGAGCTGTTTTTCTTTTTTGCGCAAAAAACTCTTGTGCAAAAGGGATCCAAGGAGGAAACGCAAATGAGAGCACGACATATGCAAATGAGCACTCCATTTGCATTTCCTCTTGCAGAAGAGGCTCCTAGTGTAGACATAGCGCTAGTGTTCTGTGCTGTTATTTAGCTCTAATTTACCCTTAAATGTCCTCTAACAGCCCAGTAAGCAGAGGTGCTGATAAAGCTGTAGAGAATATTGACTTCTCATGGTTTGCCAAAGTCTCTGGTTCAGGACTGGTCAGATCCTGAGGACTAGACCACTTCAACCTATATAACCCTTGAGACAGGCATGTAAAAAAAAAAGGAGATAACATAACTATGTAACAAACCTGTATTTCTAACTGTTGAACCACTTGCATTTGCACCCGACACTGAGCAGTGCTTCTGTCATCCAATGCATGTTCATTGTTAAGGTGCCTGGTAAAGAAAGAAAATACTAATAAAATACAGGATTAAGGTGAGCATAATTTCTTCATTCAATTTGCTCATTCTTTAGATGGGACTCTCATTAATGTCAATGGAACATTTGCAAAAAACTCTAAATTGAATGCACCCAGCATACAACTATGTAAGATAACAATCAGTGCTGTGACATTTTTATTTTGATCCATAAAGTGTTCCCAGCTGATAAATGCTAGGGGCCCAGTTCTCCTGTGTGTTCAGGCTGCTTTGCCCATCTCTACCAGCACAAATCAGCCCTTAAGCCATGACTCCCTGTATACTAGTGGATTTCTCCTGTGAAAGGGATCATTGAGGGGCACAGAGGCAACATAGTGATTTCTATACTACCTCCATGCCATGCTGCTGGGATAAGTGAGCGGCCAGTACATCCTTAGACTCCACTGATCCCCAGCTGCTGTACTGATTCATTCAGGCTGTCCTGAATTAAAAGCAGCCTACAAGATACTTTCTTTATCTGATTTTCTTTAATCTCCACCCCCCATGCCTCAAATCTGACATCACAAGTACTAAGGAACAGCAAACAGTAGTAAAACCTCACTGATTTGCATTAATAATAGCCCCCCCAAAAATTCTCAGAGCATAATGCAACTGATGCAGCTCCATAATCAAGAATGAGCAGGAAAGGGCGAGGCAACGGCGAAGGGCAACTGCACACCTTGTATGCATTGCAGAGCGATTCCCCCTGGCAGCCTCTTGGAGGAGGGTCCAAGATGTGACCATTGGACCAGCAAGTGTGCAGATCCGAAACCAGATCTCCTGTATGGGGGAAGGAGCACACAGTGACCATGAGGCAGCCAGGAAGCTGGGCATAGCCTAAGGACAGGAGAGTGTGTCTCTTGAGACACCAATGGGGGCTCGATTGCAAAAGTCAGGAGATAGGAGAGTGTTTCCGGTTTATTATTCCTCCTCCCTCCAGGATTGTGGAATTCCCTGTTTATAGCATATCAGCTGCATGATGCAGGTTTTCTCTTTTCACAAACCTGTTGAGAACGTTTGGAGAGCAAGAAAAAGAAGAAATGGAGGCAGGGGCATTGGCTCTGCAAAAATTTGGATTCACTAGCTATTTCCCCTGAAGATCAGAGGAGCCAGAGCTACAGGGACTACTGTGCAGAGTCATGGCCACAGATACCAGCACCCCCTCTCTCCTTTCTTCTGAAAACCTCCTCATTATACAACATAGCTGCTTGATTCTTCTGCTGTAGGCAGGATTTACCTATTGGTGAATAAAGAATGAAAAAAACCAAAGGATATTGCAGCTTACCCTCACTAACAGCTCTTTGTTATTATTATATCTTCAGGTTTTTTTTTTAAAAGAGTAGAAATCACATTTTTTATGCTCATGATGGGATTTGCCTATTAGTGAAGTGTAACAGAGATGTTTTGCTACTTGTGCAACAGGCCTGGAGAAAATAAGTAAATATGTCATTTTTCATTCAGTTTTAGATAAAGAAGGTTGGCATTAAAAGTTTAAATATTAGAGGGGATTATTTATAATAAGCTTAATTTTCACCAAAAATGGATTCAGTAGCACCTTCCTCCTCTCACTTAAGACCACAAAACTCATGGTCCTTTGTTTTAAATTCCAGCCACCATTCCAGGTGCAAAAATGGAAGATGAAGCCTTAGAAATAAGACTTTGTGTACTTAAAATGTGCTCTTTTGTTTTCTAACATTTTCATTTCAAAGAATAATTTAATTTCGCCAACCAGGCATGTTCATCAGAAATAGCCATTTGTCAAAATTTCTCATTTTTTATGATGTGTTCATTTCCCCTGATTTTGAAATTAGGATAAATAGATAAGCAGCTAATTAATGAATAAATTCACCAAATGGACTTTCACAACATCCTCTTCATTGCACTGACAGGCCTGTATTCTTACAAAATATGTTATTTATTAATTTAATATTCATTTTAAACATGAACAAATTTATTTGGACATACTCTTTCATGGGCTGGAGTTCACTCTGTCAGATGCCTGAAGTGGAAACTTTAGTTTGGAAGGGATATATAAACATGCAAAGATGGGAGTCTTATACTACTATTATTTTTAACATACTTTCAAGTAATTTGTTACAAAATTGAGATATTTAGTAATTTCTAGATAAAGTGGAATAATAATGAACCTAATGCATATTTGTGTAAAATTGAAAACAAAAATGAAATACAGAGAATGGTAGAGCACATGTTTGTGCATGCCTCCATGCACCAGCTTGAGATGACTGCATACTCATTATTATGTGATTTATATACTTCCACATGTTGGCTCGACAAGTTGCAGAGACTGCTTCCTGAGGCCATGTCTATACTATGTAGAAAACTGATGCTGCTGCGGTCAATCTTCCGGGGTTTGAATTAACGGGTCTAGTGAAGACCCGCTAATTTGAACTGAGAGGGCTCTACCATCGGTTCTGGTAGTCCTGCTCCTTACGAGGAGTAAGGGAAGTCACTCTTGGTGACCTCCTATTGTGTGGATGGCCCCAAAACGTGATTGATGTTAATTACATAGCTGGAGTTGTGTACCTTAAGTCAACTGTCCCTTCTAGTATAGACCAGGCATGAGGAACTTGACATTTAACAGTCACATGCAATGTGGTAGAAAAGGAAAGTCCAGTATAAAAGCAATTTCAGTGCGATCATACATTAACTTGAGAGACTACTGAACATGTTGAGGGTTACAAAGTAATCTCCTGCCATTGAGTGCCAACACAACCTCTATATCATTATGTCCATCATATTATTGTTTATGTTTTATATTTTAGAGAAAAAATGTTTCAGAGAAGCGAAAAGCACATGAACATTTTAATAGGATGATTTTTTCTTGTCTTTTTGCCTGTGAAGGAGAGTTCCTTTATTTATCATGACTGTTCAAGCAGTATAGAGACAGAAAAAATTGGTCTAATACATTTTTAAAGCCTCTAAAATAGCTTTTTGGCTACAAATTTAGGGTCTAATATTTTGCAATCTAGCAGGACTAGAAATATATTTTGTATCTCTGGAAGACTGGGAATCTATCCAATGTACACATTTTTTGTTTCTTGCCTTTCAAATCTAGTTATCAGAAAATTTCCTGAAGTTTGGAATGTTAGGAGTCCCAACCAAGATGGATTATTGGTCTGAAATTGGGTGATGAGATGAAAGGGGCAAAATAAATTTAATGTACTTCATGATTTTGTAGTTGACTCAATGATTGAACAAGTAAGGGGATTTTTTCTGTAGTTATAATGGCAACAAATTGGATATTAAACAGTTACTGACTATGCACATTTGCATAAGAAAGTATTAATATAATAAGTAATGCACGCTATCAGTAAAGCGCATTAATGATAAATTATTAATTTGAGTGTCTTACATGAGAAATTAAAAGACTGAAAATACAGTGGCATCGATTTTGAAATGCATCAAACTGCACTAGATTTTTTGCAGCTAGATCTGGATTCTGTAATGCAAAAGCTACTGTAGCTTTGTAGGTGAGAACAGATGCCGTTTTAGCAAAGGTTCTAGTGGACGTTTACCTATATCAATTAACCTCCGTGTAACTTGGTACTCTTGTCAGTCTCTGCTCACACGAAGTCCATGACTAAAATAGCAGTGCTATAGGTCAGGAGGGAGGGGCACTGGCAGAGCTCTATGGAGGAATATACACAGAACCTGTCTGCCCTGTGTTGAGTTCCAGCCAGTACTATTATGAGCTTTTCTTTAATGAGTACTAAAATTCACTCATTTTTTTAAAAAAGGAGACTGTACATTCACAAGATATAGTCATCTTATATTATAAAAGTCACAGGAAAATTATTTAAAAGCGTTTGTAACAAATGTTTATATTTTGAAAGTAATTTGTCCACCTGCATTGTCCAGGAGCTTTACTATTACATTTAAAGACAAAGCCTAATTTTAGTGCTCAGAAAATAAAGGACTTTAAAACTGAAAAAAAAAATACATTTACACTATTGGACTACAGCAGTGATTCTCATCTAGGGTATGTGTAATCCCTGTGAGTGCACACAGTTCTTCTAGAGGGTGTGCATCAACTCATTTAAATAGTTGCCTAGTTTTACAATAGGCTACATAAAAAACACTAGAGAAACTAAAATTTCAAACAAACAAGTGTTTTTATGTTTATTTGTATATCTATATTGCCCTTCAATCACTATTTATTGTTACAAAAATAGAAGTACAATATATACATTCCAATTGATTTGTTTATATTTATATGGTACAAATGTGAAAATGAGCAACTTTTCAGTAACAGTATGCTGTGACGCTTTAATATATTTATGTATGATTATGTAAGCAGGTAGTTTTTAAGTGAAGTGAAAAATGTGCAAGACAAATCAGACTCCTGAAAAGGGTAGAGTAGTCTGGAAAGGTTGAGCACCACTGGACTACAGCATGGTAACATTTCTATCTTCACGCTTGAAAGTTAACATTATTATTACTCTCCTTTTTGCTTAAAAGTCAGGAGTAGAAGTGTATGGGTATAGAGAAAGATATATAATACAGAGAGACAGTAGAAGAAAATGTACAAGTTATAAAAACAATATGAAAATACTCTGCAATCATCATTTTACATGAACTCACTTGGAGCAAAAAGGATTTGATACTTGTTTACATTTTAGTGATAATCTATCACTGTATGTTTAAAGAACCAAAAAGTGAAAAATGTTTGCATTTGTATGCTCAAGTCTTAGAGACCTATTCAATTTATCTAGCAGCTTTTATTAGACTAGAGACTGTAGACTACAATAATAGTCAATGAGGTTTTGTCTTGATTGAATTTTTCAGTGGAACACAAAAGAACCTTGCCATTAAAATAGTCCTTTATTCTCTTGTATGAAGGCGAAAGGTTTTTAAAGTGTTGTGATGTTCAGTAATGAGCCTCTATCTAAATTATCATTGGTGACAAACTCACAAAGCACTTTTCGAGGACACATAGTTATGAAATGCCAGAGCTGCCA